ACGACACACGCCAGACTTGGGTGAGTGTGACTCACTTTTTCTGTTTCAATTACTGTTTGGCTGTCAAGAAAACGGGTGAGAAATTAGTATAGTGTTTCTTTTCAACTAAACAGATAGAGTACAGCTATATTAAATATATTTTACACAACCAAGGTTTTAACTTTGTGATTTTCAAAACGGCTACACAGTTTTAATTCAATTCAATATATGCAAGCGGCCATTTACTGTGTGGTGAAGAATAATTGAGTTTTTGCATAACGATGTGGGTTAGAACTTTATCAATGACTGATCTAACATCTACTTCAACAAAATCTATTGTTTTGGCAAAAAATAAAAAAATTCATATCAATTTATATTTTCGGATTATTGATCATCATTAAATTGATAATTCAATAACTGTATGACTCGTTTTTCATAAACGTACTTATATGACACAGTTGCACTACATGTATATAAAAAATACATTACAAAGCCTTGGTTTTTCCTAACTTAATGTGGTGTACACCAAAAACTACATTGATTGCAAAATTATGGTTCAAATTGGGCAAATGTGGATTATACGTTAGTTCTATACAAGTGCCCCATAGCAAGCCGTAAGTTTAACGAAGGACTAGACCTTCAAACAATAGAATGTATAAATCGAGATAATTTCAAAATTCCATAGTTTAATTTTAAAATTACCTCAAACTTGAAGAGCCAAAAATATAATTTCACTCACATTATAAGATAATAAGATCATGTTTGAAAAAAGAAAAAGGATTGAAATGGTCCAATAATACCAGAAGGGTAGTTCTATTTACACACTCATTTTTACTACTCAGACATCCTTATTAATTTTTTTCATTGATCTTTTTTCAATTCATTCAATCCGACGATCAAAAATTAAAAATGGTGCGTAATAGGTAAAATATAGCACCTCAACAATCTTTGGACGTTGGGCAGGCTGGGATATTTTAATATGGTATTATTTATTTTCCAAAAAGAAAAAAAGGTGGGAGACCTCTAAAAGATGCATTGTTTGGTGACCGGGTCGTTAAATTTGTTGCACAATGATGTAAACGGGAACACATAAACAATATATTCAGTGTTTGATTAACAATTAATTTTAAGCAAACAAGTTATTTTTATTAGTTTCAGAAATGACAGAACATCATATGCAAACCTTTTTAAATTAGGGTTTTTTTTTTTTTTTGGAAGACAAATTAGGGTTTATGTATCTAGCTACCTACAAGTTTAAAAGTCAAATCCTAAACCTTCTCTTTAGCACCAGATAACATGTATTAGCAGTAAAGAGTAATGTTAAATGTCAATGTGTTAGGTAAAATTTGACAAAGAAAAGGCTACCTACATACAATGCTTAAGGAAGGGAAGAGCAGAGCCTTGTGTTTACTCCCATTACTTTGTCTAAGGTCATCTCCAATCAAAGGTGTTAAATATAGTTCCGTCCATAATTATAATCCTCCAAAAAATTATTTTAAAATGAACAATGTTTTGCTCATATGTCATCTCTAACCAAGGATAATGGTATGGGAATATAGTCTAGCCATCGTTTGGATATGAGTTTTTATGCAAATTAAACTATTTTTTTATTTTTAGACCTTTAGCCAGCTCCATTGTAGGTAACCTAAATTATTGACATATAAAAAAAGAAGCAATATCAAAACTGGACATAATAAAAAATTTATCACATGATGAAAAATACAGATAAATTATTCCATATGATACACGTGGTACTACTCAAGCTTACCCACATTGTTCATTTGGATGCACAAATAATGATCACAAGGTCGGGAGTTCCAAAACTAATTATCCACAAAACTTAGTTCTAATTATTAATTAGGTCTAGTTTGTGTTCCCAGCTAGTAGCTCCCTTTTGAATTAGAATAGGTCATGCATAATATATAAAAATGTTAAGAGCTTGCATTGTTGTATATATAAAATGTTGCAAACATTATTATATACACATCAAAATTTGGATTTGATCAAAGAAATGTGACAAAAGGTAGATATGATTACTTGAACCCCTCTCCTCTCCTCTAGGGTTCATCCTTATTTCTAGACATTTGAAAACATATAATATCAAAGTTCTCGTAACTTTGACTTTTATTTCCCACAAAAACAAAACCAATAGGTTTCATCCGATCATATTTCTTTGGAACACTTTGGATGCGGTCCTTAACTATCAATATTCTTTGATTGAAACCTTGTTAGTTTTTAGTTTTTTATTGAGGTCCTTGACATTAATGTAATAATGTAAGTTACTATATTTTTTAAATTAAAAATTAAAAATTGAAATTTGTAATTGTTTATATTAATGAGATTGTAAATAAAACCCATAATTTATGGGATTAAAAATAATAAAATATAAATTATACTCTCTATTATATTGTGTGTGTGTGTGTATATATATATATACATATATGTATGGGTACATTAACCAAGATTAACAAAAAAAGTTATTGTACCAAAACATGGATACATTCTCAAATCAACGAAAAAGAATGTATCCATATAAGTTTAAACATGGATTAAAAATTTTGAATGGATTTTATATTAAAAAAAGGGTACATTTTACATATAACAAATTGATATATTTGAGAATGGGTACATTTAAGATTAAAAAAATTGAAAAATTATATGAATGGGTACATTTAAGATTAAAAAATTGAGAATCTTTTTATGTATAAAAAAAAACTAATAGGTACAAACTTAATTTAATTTAATTTAATTTTTTATTATTTTGGAAATGTTTGAATTGAAAATTAATTAAGAGTTTAATAAAGGTGTGAGTATTAAACCCTAAATTAATTACTAATTTTTATATTAAAAAATTATATAATAAACATGTAAATTCATTATCACATTATTGCTAGTGACTTGAATCAAAATTTAAGAACTAATAAAGTCTTAGTCAATGAACAGTAAGAACTAAGGACCGGATACTAATTTTTCCTATTTCTTTCATGAGAAATGCAAAGGAAACTTTTTCAAAGTAACTCTTTATAAATTTTTTTGTCACTTCACAATTTAACGTTAATTTTCTTGTCAATATTATAAAATATTGTGTAAAAAATATGAGACACTTCATAAAGAGTCCTACTATTAAGAGAGTTTTCTTAGGCCATCTCTAACCGACCTGGCCAAAAGGTCATAGAGCTAAAAATAGCGCGTTTTGACACGAAAACCGTCTCCAACCAAGGGTTAGGCCAAATGGCTCGTGGGCCCCCTCGGCCAAAAATGGGAGAACCGGCCAAAGGGTTGGCCAAGAGCAGCTAGCCCTATAGCCCAACCCAAGTACATGCTACCTGACGTCAGGTTTACTATTTGACTTCTTTTTTTACGAATTAAAAAAAATAGAAAATTTATTTTATTTTATAAATACCTAAGTTATTTCTACACCATTACTCACATCCTTTTCACCATTCCATAATATCATACCTCATTTTATTTCAATTCTTCACCAATTTTTCACATCCTTTTCATTCTATAAAAATAAGAAATCTGAAAGCTTATTAATTTAACAACAGGTGACACTTAAAATATATTCGAAAACCTTATATTAATATGGTAATTCAATTCAATTAAACATATTAATTCAATTACAATAATAAATTATGTTTGGCCTATGACTTTTTGGCCCCTTCAGTTGGAGATGATTTTTTGTCAAAAGGCTATGTTTAGCCTATGACGCTTTAGCTCCCTCGGTTGGAGATGGTATAAAATCTGACATGACACTGTTCATTAAAATATACTTTCTTGCAAGACTATAGGGCTAAACATGTTCCTTTGGCCATTTTTTGGTTGAAAATGGCCTTAGCATTTCTCTTCTTTCATTAATGGCCTTAGCATTTATCTTCTTTCATTTTCCATGGCTTTGGCTTTGGGTCTGAGCTACCTGACTCTTGTTCTTCCCAGAAAGGCCATGGTCAAAAAAGAGACGCACAAACCCTACGATATATACATATATGTATATTTTTCATCTCGTTCTCTCTGCACCAACTTTGACTTGGATTGGGATCTCATTTGGATTTTCTTTGTGAGAATCATAAAAATCTTTGCATTATATTTATTTATCGTATATTGTATAGTAAGAAATAATTATGAATTTTGTATTTAAAATTAAATACAAATAATATTTAATGAAAACTAATTACACAAGATACAATGAACGAATAGAATGTGAAGAAAGAATCCGGAGAGGATTCGCATCCACTTGACCTATCCTCGCTGCAAAGTGCAAAAATTTGCACTACTCCCAATGCCCTAATTTCTGTTTAGTTTCCTCCCTCTTATTTTATTTATTTACCATCTGGGTCGGTCAATGCCTTCGTATGAGTCAAATGGGTCAGTGTTTTTGTTCCCTCTTCCCACTTTTGCTTTGGCAGCCATTTCTTTCGTATTTTACCATTCTCTTCCATTTCCAACCTCTTCTAAACAATTAAACAATGCTACGTTTACGTGTTCAATTCTGTTTAACTTATTCAATTCAATGTTTATAAATAAAATGAAGCGTAATAAATTAAAGAAGATGTGTATAAATTAACTCTTTTAACGTAAATTATATGTTGCTCCGGAATTCTATATTCAATCATTTTTAACCGTTTGGTTTTGATTATTGTTTCATTAATCAGGAATTTAACAATTAAAAACCTGCGAGTACAGATAATCGGGAAACATACAAGAAAAAAATCTCGGATTTTTTGAGTTAAATAGGTAAAAATTTAAATGAATGAAGAATGAACGAGTTGAGGAGGAAACAGTGGTAAATAAAGGGCAGTAAACAAAGTAGGCAAAAACAAGAAGAGACAGCGCATCTTTCTCCCTTTGCTTTCTCTGCTTTTGATAATTCCTCAACCTCCTGTCCCCAATGCCTCCCTCTTCCTTTCACTGCAAAAAGCAACCCACAGTGACTGACCCACACATTTGCACAACCCCCTCCAATTTTTTTCTTTTTTTCCTTCATCCAACAGATAAAAGAAGGCCTATGTTTTTGCTATATCCCTTGTAACTTAACATCAATCTCATTTTTTTCTAGAACTCAAATTTCGTTATTTTACATTCCAAAATTAATATTTGTTTCACGTAAATATTAAGTTTCAGAGTATAAAGTGACGAATTTTAATTTCAAAAAAGGAAATGAGACCAATGTCAAGTTTTAAGACTAATGCAGAAAATAAGCCATAAAAGAACAAAAGATATAAGAGAGAGATTCCATGGGGCCTACTTTGGGATCATCAGATGATTCAAACATTCGTCTTCAAAATCACAGAAAAATCCATTAAACTATCTCCATTTTTTTTTCTTTTCTGTTTCTCTATAAACCCTCCTCTCCTCTGTACACTTTTTGTTATTCAATTTCCAACTCTCTCTCTCTCTCTCCACCCATTTTTTTGAATTTTCTGACTGGGAAGCAACCCATATTTTGCTCTGTTCCCTAGACCTATCTTTCAAATCTTCACATTCCTTGATTACCACAAAAATTTCACCTAAAAGGAGAAAATTTTAAAAATAAATAAAGAAAAAGACATCAGAACCCAAACCTCTCCCTATCTCCCTTGAATGTACAAAGCACCCAAATCCCCCGAACATCCAACACCTTTGGCTGTCTTCAAAATTCAGCCATACTCCGCCGACCCGCGGTTGCGGTTCCAGTTGTGCCGTCTGTGAATTAACCAAGTCTTGTTACTCCATCAACCCACTGGAGCTGCTTGAGATTCTGTTCTGTCCTCGGAAGAGGATCAAGTGTTGAATCTTTTTAATCCAATCCAATTCTATTGGTTTTGCACTCGGCGTTTTCCATTGAGACTACCTGTCTTCTACGAAAATTCTTCCGATGAAATCCCTGAACCTTTTTGAGTAATGCTTCGGATCAACAGCTGAGATCGAAGTTGGGTCGGCTTGCAATGATTTATATGCATGCTCTAACTTCTTGCTGATATCGTAGTCTTGTAAAATGTCGATGACCCCAAAGTAAAGGACTACGTCGTAGATTTCACCGCTGCGTGAAGGGGTCAAATGGCTGAACCCACCAGGGGTGTACTGATCGAAGTCACTCCTTCGAGCCATCTGCTCTGCCCTTGCAGGCATATTGGCTCCTAAACAGATCAATGGTTTCCTGATAGAGAATACACGTTTTCACATCAGCTTTAGAACATATAGTTCATCCAGTAGAAGAACATTCCCTTCCCACTAAACTCATCTACTCACTATCCACATATCTATCTATTTCCCTAAGCCTCGATCCTCAAAAGAATAATGGGTAAAAATGACCAGAATTTGAAGAATCACCAAGATCCCACATGTATCCACAAACTATGAACAACTGTTGCCTAATGATACCCCACAAAAGTCAATAGTACAAACCAACACCACTCAATCATTTCGATGACACTTAATTCAATGTCAGAATTATCCACCCACCCAATTCTTTTATAGAACTAAGATGACAAAGCTCAACCACATTATCGTTTCGAGAAATCATTCTTAAACCAATCGCATATAAACATTTGGTTGAGTAGTTTAAACTAGAAGAAAACAAGATAAGAACCGTAAAACATACCGGCCAGACAAAACTCGATCCATGTCTTGTAGCTCAGCCTCAATAAATCGACACCCACGCATAAACTTCTCATTTTGATATGAATCCTTTTGTCCTACAAGGGTCAACCACTTGATTTAGCATTCTTGTACACACAAAATTACTAACCTACAATATCCTGACAAAAGGAAGAAAAGTTACCAGAGCGCAAATAAAATGGTGAAAGCCCCATTTTGTCATATGTCGTACCATCGTAGAAATGAAGTCCAACCAAAAGACTGTAATCCATGATTCTCTCTGCTTCCAGAAATTCACAATCCAGATCAATTTGCCTGCCAAAGTTTCAACCTAATTTAATTAGTACATGGCCAAGAGAGAACAATTCCATAAACTGGGAAAGAAATTACTTGGACTTACTTCATAAGCTCATGGTACCATTTTCCTTGGAGGCGAAACACAAAGTTAAGGTCAAGATCCTTGAGAGTTGTGATTTCATCAATCTCCCCCTCAGGTTTATCAGTTGTTCGACCATGGGAGGATCCTTTAAGGTCAAATCGTCTATGTATTCTGTACTCTGAGCAGAACAAATTGCCCATCACGATAAACCTTGTCTGTTTTCCAATCAAAGGGCAACAAATTAGACACATAAATACATCAAATCATTGACAAAGGGTTTGATCGATTCCCCAACGCGTACCTTCTGGCCACCGACAGGTTTGACACAATGCACGCCATAGAATTTTGTCACCAGAGAATTTTCATACCGAGACATATGTCTGTAGTAACTTGGAAGCATCCTGATAAGCACCTGAAAACGAAATACTAGTCAGATCATTTCAGCAACGTCAACCTTTCCATGTCGAATTAAGAAAGCAGAGTGGTACTTAGGAACCAAACAAGTCAGCAGAGCGCTAATTATGCCCCATAAATGTCCATTTGTGTCCAGTAAAGTAAAAAAATGAATACAAAAGAAGTCAAACAGGTGGGCAACTAACCTTGACTTCCGATTTCTTGACAGTCTTAATCATAAATCTATCGTCCTGAGTCAGGTAAAAGAAGCTTCCGCTCTTCCCTGGAGAAGAAAGCTCCCTAAGCGCGTCATTTCCGCAGATAGCCAGCATATAATCGGCTGGATCTACTTGGAATAGCTCCCTCAAACGTCTGAAATAACGATTTGCGTTTTTACTTTTTAGGATCAAACCCGTACGAATGTAGCTCGAATCGCTCAATGCTTGTTATCAGAATTTCTACTTATAGTATTCAATTGATGAAAGATGGCAATCAACAATAAGTAATCAACCAATATACAGAGCTACAGGCAAAGCATAACATACCTGAACACCATGGGACAATAGTCCTTCCACCGGAACTCAAACGACTGATGGGGTGGCGTTTTGTTCGATCCTTCGGGTGGAAACCTGGTCCAGAACTTCTCCTTTGGATCGAAATCACTCGGCTTAAGGTCCCTCACAATCGAAGCATGCTTCCCAATTGAGTACCTAAGCAACAGACACCAAAATATCAAACATCAAACTCCAAAAATCAAAACCCATCAACAAAGTAAATTAGCAAAATCGAACAATCAAAAAAAAAAAAAAACAAGAAAAAGGGTGGACAAAGTACCTAATGCCCAGCTGAAGATTGAGCATCAAATCGTAATTCTTATGCCCTTTGGAAATCGTCTGGCCGGGCTTCTTGGGCTCGCCGGAGAAACAACAAGGACTCCGCCGGAACTTCGCGAACCCATCTCGATCGAATGCGGTGCCGTTTCGATAGAACATCGAAGCCTCCATGTTGTCGATGATATCGCATGTGATATCCCCGGCTTCCCCATCCGACTCCCAGATACAAATCCTGGGGAAAGTCCTCTCCGCCAAGCTCCCTCTCGCCCCATCCACCGACGAAACGCTGCGTTTTCGCATCGTAATGGTCAGATTCTCCGCTCCGAAAGCCCCAATGTCGGTCAAGCTCTGCTCCTTTCTGCCGTTCGCCGGATAGAAAGTCCCGTTAAGCTGATACCTCAAGTCCTTGTTCCATGTCCCAACATAACAACTGCCGTCGGGCCAGGTGAATATTCCGTTACCTTTGGGAACGCCGTTTTCCCACTGGCCGTCGTATTTGTTCCCGTTGGCCCAAATCAAAACGCCCCGACCCGAAATGACGCCATTTCGCCACTCGCCGACGTACTCATTGCCGTTCTCCCACACGTACCGCCCTTGCCCGTCCTGGACGTTTCGCTTCCACGAACCCTCGTAGAAATCGCCGTTCGCGTACCGCTTCTCCCCCAACCCGTGTTTCCGATCCGACGACCAGGAGCCCCGATATGTATCCCCGTCGGATCCGGTGAACGTCCCGCACCCCTCCATCCGACCCGACTTGAACTCGCCCTCGTACGTTGCGCCCGACGGCCACGAGAACTTGCCTTTCCCCGACGCCTTGCCACGTCGCCACTCGCCTTCGTACATGCACCCGTCCGTCCAGAGGTACTTGCCGGATCCGTGCGGGAACGACCCGGAGAAGCTCCCGATGTAGAGATCCCCATTCGGTAGATGCCTCTCGACGCTGGACGACGTTGTGGTGGGGAAAGTCGCGAGGGTCGTCGTCGTCGTCGGCGTTACTCGCCGCGTCGTCGCCTGAGATCGGCTCAGGCCGATTGTAGCCACCGCCGCCGGTGCTACAACCAACTGCGTCGACAGCTCCCTGTCCCCTTTCTCCTCCTCCGACCTCTTCTTCTTGGGGTGGGAAACGACGTTGCTCGGCGATTCACATAGCAGTGCTTCGCGCATTTTTGTCTTACATATATACACACCCACAATCCACAAAAACCCAAACAGTGACAGCACTCTCACAGCACAGCAAACAACTCTGAACTCTCTCTTCCCGCTTCTGGGTCAGTCCGGCAGCATTATAAGGGTTGCTTACTCGCCGGAAAACGAAATCCGATGAGCATTTGCGGCAGAGCAATGGGGGTGTTTGCTCTTTTTGTTGGTTTTTAGTATTTGGGTTTCTCTTTTGTCTTTGTTGGGTCTTCTCTTTCTCTCTTTGAGTGCTTTGTGTCTCGGAAAATAGGTGGGAATGGGAATCCTACAAACACAAGGCGCACAGCAGAGAAAAAGGAGAGAGAGAGAGAAACTCAGAGGAGAAAGAGAGAGATTAAAGACGATGAGAGAGAAAACCCCGAAAAATATTAATTAAAAAACATCAAAACTAAAAAAAATTAAAAAATGGTGAAGAAGGAGGAGGGATCAAGGTTTAAAATTTCTTCAACACAGCCGATAATTCTATGAAAATATCCAAAAATCAAAGTTGGATATCAGAAATGAGGGTGAAGTTAAAATTCACTTTATATCGAAGAAATTTTTAAGTTGAGGTTAAAATTTACATATGTTGTTGATATTTCTAATACATTTGTTAAACATCTAAAAAAAAAAAAAAAACTTTTATATTTTGTCCAAAATAATGCTTATCAATGCCTACAATTTTTATTTTAAATTTTCATTATTTTCATCGAAAACAACCGATATCAAATATATCTTTCAATACTTTTACAAATTTACATATCAATATTTTAACGGATACTAATAATTAAACATGAGAACTAGAAGGGACGAAGAATGGGTGAGCCGGCTTTTGCCTAGGGAACGTTTCTGCTGCGTACAAGATACTGAATGAGGATCCTAAATCATTTTATTCATCTAATCGTGTCGGCTCCTATTTATATTTAATTTAAATAAAAATATTTAAAATAATTTTTAGATGTATGATATACAATGAACTAACACGATACCCGAAATTCTCACAAAAACGATCGGGATTTTCATTCCAAAATACTATCCCCACTCCCATGCCGCCAGGCCAGCTCACTTCGTTTGATTTTATTAGATTGACGAATTTACCCCAGTACTATTCCTTTCATCTTCATCCCTCGTCTCGTCGTGACGTGACGGAATCGCCTAGTAGGAATAGGAAGATTCATGAGGCTGTAACCCTTGCGGATGGGGGCAATGTACATTTACGTAATTTCGGAATTATTATGCATCCTTGGCATAGTTTTGTGGGTTGGCTTTTTTCTTTTTATATGCTGATCCAAGCTAATTACATTTAGGCCTGCTAACAACCTTGATAAATCTTTTCTGATTGGTTTGGGACACAATTTAAAGACTCTTGATGTGTTTTGAAGATTAGTCAATCCAAAAATACCCTTATTTACGAATAACGCATTTTGACCAAATAAAATTAACAATTGAAACTGTTTAATTCATTAATCTTCATTTGAAGATCACTCATACAAAAAAGTGAATTTTAAGATTGTTTGATCATACAAATATATCAAATAAATGAACGACTCATTATGAATATGTTACTTAGTACCTACACTATCGGTTTGTTTTATACATTTGAATGACTAAATGATTTTTTAGAGAGGTGACCTTTAATTGAAGATTAAGAATTAAACAGTTCGGATTATGAAAATTGTACGGTCAAGATATGATATTAGCATGGAGGGAACGAGCTTATGCTAAAGAGGGATGCAAGTATTATCTACTTAAAAGTATAATTTATTATAACTTATAAGAAATAGAATTCGAGCTTCTTGATAAGCAAGTGAACACACAGACTGACCAATTAGTTTAACTCACAATTGTATGTACCGATCATGATATACTAACTAGGCATTTGTTTTTTCTAAGTTTATAAAAATTGTAAACCAAAAACTCAAGACTAAATATAAATTATTGTTATGGCCTATATTTAATTGAGGGGTGCGGCAAAGAGAGAAAGAGAACGGAAAATAGGCTTGAGGAATTGTGTGTTGTTCCCCAATCCTTGTGCCTTTATTTATAGTAATAAGGAAGAGAGAAACTTGCTCTCCAAGTAATACAAAGTCTATTAGGAAAGATCTTACAGATCCCAAAGGATTCATATTCTATCTCTACTTAGGATTTACACAATCACATATTGATAAGAACATATGTCACAACACTCCCCCTTGAGTGTGCAAATACTCAAGCAGATGCCGCATCAGATCTTCAGACAAATGTAGAAGTAGTTGATGAAGTCGTTTCGTCTAGTCGTCATAAGTAACAAATGCGAGTCTCAAAATACACAGAAGAATGCATGGGTGGTAAAACTCACAAAACCTCGCTATGGCAAAACCCAAGGTGGGACAAAAATCCATAGACTAAGGAGAAAAGTGAGAAGTTGCATTAAGTCAAAATTACGTCTTCTGGACGCAAGTAGAAGAGCTCACAGGGATATGACTAGCCCAAGATGGGTGCTTCGTCAAAACCTAGTTAGGTAGCAAAAACCAATGGAAAAACCTCCTAATTGTAGGAAAAATAGTACATTAAGGTCAAGTGAGTATACTTCTGAATACTCCCCCTGAGTTTGATAAAAATTCCAAATGAAACTACAAGCATCGCAAATGAGAAAGTTACGCATACCAATTCCTTGGACAAGCTTCTAGAAGGTAGACTTCGGAATTGACGTCGTGTAGAGGTCGGCAAGGTTGTAAGGGATCAGACTACTTGACTTCAATCTTCTGATGCTTATGCTGATGTAGACACAATATGTTTGGCGTTGACTTGTTGGATGTATCATAATTTGGTCGATACATACAGAGTTGTCTTCATGGATCGTTATTGGGACTTAACAATGGATGAAAAACTCAAGGATTTTAAATATGCTCAACAAGAGTTCTTGACCATATCTCTCACGTGATGAGATAAAGTGAGTCTTGAAATGATTCAAAGGTTTCGCAACAAAAGGTCTATATTACGGACCTCCAAGATATTGCGGTGTTCCTTAATGGTAAAGACATAACCATGCGGGAACGTACCTTATGTGGTCAGACAGATGGTCTGATTCAGCAAATCCCATAAGGTAGGCATCATTCCGAAGATCAATGGGGTGTGATTTATTCTGAGATGCATAGGGATAGATAAGCCCAAATCCGTCATAACGAAAAAACGTCTTTAACACCAAATTTGGTGGTGACGTGTAGGCGCAATGCTGCTTTATGCCAAAAAATTATCAGCACATAAGATGTCTGATTCAAGTGCATTAAGCGAAGTATAACAAATACCAATGGTATTTAGATATGGCTGCCTCACGTTCCGATATAGAACCTTATTCTCTATACCCTCTGTAAAGGTCTCATTTGCATCTATCATATAGGTGATCAGGGTATACTCAAATATAACACCTTTTGGGTCTAGTTCGAGTGGTGGACCAGAATACCATCAGAACTAGCTCGAAACTTCAGGTCGAGGTAATGTCGAGTTTTCCCAAGATCATTCATCTTAAAGTCTGACTTTAGGTGTGAGTCAGTTCTCAACTCTAGCAATTTCAAATTTTTTACACGCAAGGGCATATATCCCTAACTGATCAAATATCACTTAGACAGGTATACCACATCTGCCCAAATAGTTCTGCATCTGCAAAGTGAAGGCATCTTGAGAACCGATAGGGTGTTCTTATGGTCTATAACTATTTAATTCAGTACATGTAAGTCCTTTGGAAACTCCATGTAGTTTTCATATCAGGATCTCAGAGATACTACAACCACGTTTGTAATGCTGCAATCAATCACATAACGTATAAGAGAAGCTTTGCGCCACAAGGCGTCATATCGCACTATTTCATTCATCTCATTCGTCATTAATTGATTCTTTTATTTGACCAATCAATTCTACGTTGACACTAATCAACGAAACGTGATTCGTTATCATCACTTTTCATTTATGTCGGTAGTTACCATATAAATGAAACATCATCTATGATAATCTCATTCCAATTCCATATCTTATCCAAACTAGTATACTCGACCAAGAACTTCAGGTCTCAGAAGTAATCCCGATTTAATCTCATAAGATGAAAAGGATTGAGATAGTGATCGAGGGACAGATTCATTTGTGCCATGTTTTTCCACTTTTGGGGAAGTGAATCCTTGAACTGAGTGATCTGCCACACTTCTGGCGCAAGCCGGATTGATTGGCTAGCCACCAATGTATGAGGGTTGGCCACAATAGTGGCATTCCTGCTTTTGGGACAAAGGTCCATTGTACATTTGGTACACATCTTTGAAGGCACATTTGCAGCTAGTATATATGATCTTGTTACTTTTGCTAGATCAGAAGAAGTGTCTGTTTATACTGTAATGATCTAGATGAGGATTAAAATGAGACATAGTGGGGACGTCCACGATAATATGCGTCGTTCTTTAGGAATGTTGACGTTTTTATCTCCCCCTAACGATAGGAAAACTGTCTCATAAAAGTGACAATCTGCAAAATGAGCGGTAAATAGATCGTCTGTCAAAAAGGTTATAAGTAACGAATATTAGAAGGAGAATCATAAACAACATAGGTTTCCATCCTTCCCCGAGGACCCTTTTTGTTCTTTTTGAACGTAAGGGCGGAGCAAAATGGCATATAGACCACACAACCAAAGACGCGCATATGTGATATGTTAGGTTCGTATCTGGTAACCAACTGACACGTTCGTTATAAGGTTGGGTTGTGACAGGCCTCAAGCGGACCAACATGGTTGCTTGGAATATTGCACGGCCCTAAGTAGAGATCGGAAACTTGGTACGTATGACCAATTGATTGCACAATCATTTGAAGACATTTAATGAATGCTTCTACTGGGTTATTTTGGGTATGAACATAGGGTACTAGATGTTCAACTTCAAAACCCAACCGACATGCAATATCCATCGAAAGTTTCCGATGTAAATTCTCCAACTTATCAAATCAAATAGGTTTGATTAGATAATCAGGGTGGTGAGCTCTAAGCTTGTTAAGCTGAGCCACCAGTGTGGAGGATGCAGCTTGTGGACAATAGCCACATGTGTGACCAACGTGTAGAAGCATCAACCAATACTATAAAGTATCTAAATGGTTAGCAAGATGGTTGAATCAGTCCATAAATGTCCCCTTTGAATCCTTTGTAGAAAATATGGAGGGTGATAAGGTATAGTACGCGTCCAGGTATGATGTCTTTACTTCTGGTAAAAGGATACCCAAAACGGCGCATCACGAATCATCCTAGATATCTTATATGTACATCCATAGCAAAAAATTCCTTTGGAATCGCGAGCTTCTGGCCGGCCACATAGTGGGCCTGAATGGGTGTAATCCACTTGTTAAGCATTTCATTTTCTCTAGAATATACTTCTGG